CCCCGGGGCCCGTCCCTGGGGCCGGGGCGGTGGCTGGGGCTCGGGCGGGCAGCGGGGGTCGCGCAGGGACCGCCGCCCCCATCGCCGGGAACCGGCGTCTGCCGGCGGGGGGGAGCGCGAAGGTTTCCCGCAGGAAAGGTCCGTGTGTGCGTTCGTGTTTGTGCGTTCGTGTTTGTACGTGTGTGTCTCGCAAAGAGCCGGGCTCGAAGCATTCATAGTTCTGTCTTTGCTGATGATCCGCAAAAATGCCGTTTCCAACGTTGGAGAATAGTTGGTTTGTGGGTTTTTTTCTTTCAATTGGCCGCGATTCGTTTCACAACTGCGAAATCAACCTTAACAAAATGCAGGCGGACCAAATACAAACGCGAAGTCTTTTGCAATAACTTGACAGCACTTTTGTCGCACTCGAGGTGTTTGTTGGTGTTTCCGCATTACGGCTTTTTGGGAATAAACCTTTCCTATGCAGGATCGCCCCAGCTCAGCTCTGCCGGGTACTGCTCCCTCCACTTTAGTTCCTCGGGAGCATCACCGTGGGTTTGGGTTTTTAAGAGCAAAATAGAGTCTCGCCTACATTTCATAGTTGGTCGTTGAGCTGTTCTGCTAAATTGCTGCAGCGATGAGATTTTAATACCAAAAGTATAAGACTGAACATATATTTTATACAACAAAGCTACGAGAGTGGCCAAGCCTGTGAATAAAAGCAAATTTTCAGCTGAATGTAACGTTAAAGCACGGGCTGCAGAATTGTATAGATTAATCTAAAGCCTACCAGATTAAAACTTTTTATGCTAATTTATTGCTACAATGTATTGGTTTATTTATATATTTTGAATATTCCCACTTCTTTCTTTGTGCAGTTAGAAATCTGCAAGCTTAAGCACAATTACTTCTAATCAAACCTATTAAAAGGAAATGTCTAGAACTTCAGAGCGGCAATCAGGGGTGACACTACACATTTTTAATGGCTTATGGCTTTTGTAGGTACTAAAAGGTTTCATCAGGAAAAGACAGAATGCTTGCAGCTGTGTAGTCTTGTTGAATAAATTATATTTTTTTTTTACGTGATCTAAAGGACTCAGTATTTGCAAACTTAAGGCCCTGATGCTGTTCCCATAAACCTGTCATAAGTTTTTGTTACTGCAACAGGTAATAGGCGAAGATGTTCTGGCTAGCTTTGGTTTTCTCAGAGGAGACTGTATTTTTTGTAAGAACAAAAATGGCTCTTGTCTGCTCCTGAAGTCAGCTGTAAAACAGAACAAACAAACAAACAGAAATCCCAAAAGTTTCAGATATGGAAAAAAGCTAAGCGTATTCAGACCAGAACTGTAAATCCCAGTAATTATTCTCATTTTCTGTGCGAGCATACGTTATCCGCACATATATGCGGCTGGTAGCAATGCCTGACACCTGCCATTGCCTCTCCTTTAGCTGTGCAAAGGGCTGGGAAAGCTCCAGGAGTCTGATGAATTTTCTTCAAGCTTTGGCAGCTCTGGCTCTCAGGAGACGGAAGGTGATGGTGGCATTGCTGCTGTGATCAGAATTCGTCCTGAAATAAGCTGCTGTGCCTTTCCATCTGCCCTCTTCCTCGCGCTAGCCGGAGGAAACGGGGCTGCTCCGTGTCCCGGATGGGAAAACTGATCTCGGTGGAATAATTCTGCCCTTTCCCAATGCGCTCCCCCAAGTGTTGGGGCGGGTTGAGCCGGGTTTCCTGGGATGAGCAAGTTTCCTGGGATGAGCAAGACCTGCAGCGCTAGTTGATGTCAGTTTGAGGTGTTTGTGAAACTACTGCGTAAGGAGGGTACGTACTTTCCACAGCCAAATAGGTGGCAGTGCCTCAGTGATGATACCTGCAGATACCTTTAAGAAGCAGTCTCACCTTCTCACAGTGTACAGCAGAGGAGCCCTTTAAAAAAAAAAAAAAAATCATTTTCCTAGGGAATTACCAGTGGGTAATTTTTTTTCGCATTGGAGTCTGACCCACGCTTTCATTTTTCCCGGCAGTTTTCTGTTTTCTGCCATATTTCCCTTCTTTGTTTTCTAATACGACCTTCGAGCTGTGGGACTGGGGATGGAACGGGCTGTGACTCAGTGCGCGAGAGTAAGGAAGGGTCAGTGTGCAAAGGGATTTATCCCAGCAACCATCTCTGAGTCATGGCTCTTCCTCGGCTTCTCCCTTGCTTTTGGGGAGGTGAAAAAATGCACCGCCGAATTGCGCCAGCAGCAAATTACTGTTTGTCCCACACTGGTTTTGCTCACTGTGCCAGAGCGTAGCATTAAAAGTTTAATAGGTGAGTAATTGAAAAAGCATTGTGGTTTCTTTGTTGTTTTTTAACATTCTCGGTTTTGCCTGGATTGGGCTAAACTGTGGTTCTAACATACAGCTGTCGCTTGCAAGATGCAATCGCTTGTCTTTTTAAAGTTGTCTCTCTAAAACTGCATTGGTGGATATTTTTGGGGTAGAATAAAGTATTAATTGCTCTGCAAAATGTATGTACTATTTTTACTACAAATTCAGCAGGCGTGATGCAAACTTGCAGCAGAAAAGACCTGAAAAACGAGACTCATCTTCCCTCCAGGAGCAGCAGTTTCATTACCACCTCCGCCACATCATTGCATGCTGCGATTTCTTTAAAAAATTACCTTTCAATGATTTTTTTTTTGCATGTGTGTTTCCTATAATTACTTAAACGATTGATGGACTAGGATAACAGGAATAGTAGAAACAATTTAGTGGGCAGTAGCTTATCTGATAGCAAATGCAAGCTGACAAAGTTGAGAAGTCATTTGTGTTCTTTTCTGTTGGAGAGTTAAAAATCTATCGATATTACCAATGGTAAAACACGGACCAACAGGATTGTTCCACTGGTAACTTCTTTCTTATAGGAGCAAAAGTTCTTCCACCTCCATCCAACCTGGACTACTCGTTTATCCAAATCTGCACCCTGAACTGGACGTGGAACCCCCCAGAGAACGTCAGCAGTGGCTGTGACCTGGAGTATTCCAGCGACATCGTGATCAATGAGGTCCCTCTGGGGAAACCAGTGAGTGCATCGCCTCTTTAAACTCTGCTGCGCTCCAGTAAATGTCTGATTGCGATAAAACTGTCTGTGTGTAAGCTTATATACATATCTAAAGACAGTTTTAATATAGCCTTTAATTCTTGTCGGGGGATGAAAACCTCAAAACTGAGTCATACCAGCGTGTGGGATCTTCAGATCAGAAAAATCTGTCTGTCGCTCTCTGATAATTGAGCCGCTACCGATAACAGAAGTACTGTAATAATAATCACGTGAAAAGACTCATTTCAGTCTTTGCTTCTGCAGCTTTCTAGAAAAAATGAAATATGTACAGGGCAGTCTACATCCTTAAGGCTTAAATGGGAATGTGCAGAGGCTGATCTCCTTCGCTTTGAGCTCACGTCGAGAAAGAGGCGTCCACCTCTTAGTGGACCATGGTGTAGCTGTCGTTTGATGGCGTAGCATCTTTTGGAGGGATGCCAACTCTGACCATATTCCCACATTTACCCTGTCCCTGCGCTTACGGTTATTCACGGAGGTTGTGTTACGAGGACGACATGGAACATATTTGTTCCCTGGAGCAGAAATTGTAAAACTTCTTTGGTTTGGGCTTTTGTTTTTATTCCTGCGGTAGATGGTTTGCAGCCCAGATGTGATCCTTGGTGTGTGTTAACAGCTGTTGGGTCAGGACAGAGAGCGACATTGCCATGGCACTGAAGGGACAAATATTTTTACAATTATTGCCAGTAAGATAATACACTCTCAGGCCGTAATCCCAAACCATCGCAATTTGAAGCCTTGAATACGTACCAACTGTGGGGTCGGCAGCGCCGCTATTTTGGGTATGGTTAAAATTGATACGATGCCTCTTGAAACAGCCCTTTGTTGTTGAGCCCTGTTAGTTTTATGGCCTGATGTTTACAATGGCCTCTTCACGGTGGCTGCCGTCTCCTTTCTGACAGCTCCAGGATATCCTGGACGTGAAGCAAGGCTGCCGTTTCGCAGACAGCTGAGCTGATTTAATGGCTTAACGCTGCTAAAAGGGTGATGTTTCATTTTTTTGATGCTCCCCTTCTCTAACGTTCTTCGTCAGACCTTTAGATGAGCCACTCAGACTTGCTAACTCAGCAGTAACCAACCTGTTTACCTCTTTGATGGGTTCATTAAGGAATTAACAAGTTGAAGGTCTGCTCGGTTAACGAGCTGAATGAGTTTGTGGAAGGGTCTAGCAGATGTTAAGCTCAGGGGCAGTGAAGGAGCTGCAGGACAGCAGTTTCACGTGACGGGATGAACCAGACCGCGCAGCATCTCGCCGCATCTTTTTTGCAGTAGAGCTGGTAGAACCTAGTCTGCTCATTGCCTGTTTGATTTCATTGCCCTCTCATTAGTGCTAATTTTTATTTTATACATTTAAAAAAAAATTTTATACATAAGCAGTTACACCATTTTTTGGTCATAACAAAGATTTTTTTTTTTTTTTTTTGTCCTGTTTCCAGTTAAGTAAAAGGCATCCCCCCAGCCCAATAAAAGAAGCTCAAGAGAGCGTGTGAGAAAAGCCGCCTTCTCACACAAACACATCCTCTCTTCTGAAAATGGAAGCTCACAGACTGCTTGGGCCCCATGTGGTGTCACCGCATTTAATAACCATTTGTGGATTTGTGTTGATGCTTTATTTTTTTTCCTCCCTTTCCGTTCATCGCACGCTCGTGCGCGCACACAGAAAGGTGCGGATTAGAGCTGTAAACTCCTGTTTATATGGCTGCAGCACAAACCTGCACTTTTGCATTATCCCTCAAGACTCACAGCGGGACCGTCCCCCCCACCTTACAGTTTAGTTTCTGTGCGGCCGCTGCTCCTGTCTGCATCTCGCTGGGGTGAACGTGGTTTTCCTTTGGTGGGTTCTGAGTGCTCCCGATGAGGAAAGAGGGACGCTCAGCTCAGTGACGCTGAGGCTTCCCGCGTTGCCGGACACTCATTTCATTTGGCTTCGAGCTGCAGCCTTTTTTTAGGGGCTCTAATGTATCCTTACATTAACCGTAATTCCCACGTGTTTGGTGCAGTGTTGCCAAACATTCTGGTTTTCTCTTCTCCCCCCGCCCCCATCTAAACCCAGGAATGGAGTAAGAGTCGCTTCCGTGTGACGGATACGATCCTGAATGAGGAAATGCGTTTCAGAGTGAGAAGTGAATGCAAGTGCGCTAACGCCAGCGAGCCCAGCCGATGGGTGGAGACCGCGCTCCTGCCAAAAGGTAACGCGTGCGGCGGCCGCAGCCCAGGCAGACCTGCCTCCCCCTGTCCTCGCCCAGTCTAATGAAATGCCGTCGCCGCGAATCGGGGAGAAACGTGGAGAGATAGTGGGGGCGAGGGCCGGTTCGGTTGATGGAGTTTAAACAGGGCCATCGGACTACATTTAAACCCAACCGGAGTGTTCTGCCACGCAAAACCTTCCAGGCAAGCTTGTAAAATTTAACTGCGCTTCCAAGAGAGCGATGTGATTCCTGTCGTTCTCCTTGTCCCGGCCGTGGCTGTGAGATAAGAGAGGACTTGGGTTGGGTTAAGGCTGCCGGCTTCGTGGCGAACGTCGAAGCCAGTTTATTTTGTGTGTTTTTTCTGTATGAGCAATAGTCCTTAAAATAACCCTGCCTTTATAAATGTTGGAGGGCTAAATCTAGCAAATTGAACAACTTGTTGAATAAATAACTGACTTAATGAAATAATTATAGTAGGGCGCACTCTTTTTCAAAGGAGGCGACTGGGGCGTCCAAAGCTGCACAGAGCAAAACGAAGAGAGGAAAAAAAAAAGTTTTGTTTCCTGCCATGCAGAAATAAGGGGTCCGTAGCGAAATTGTTAGGAAGCAGACTTTGAGGAATAACGTATTCTGCCGGGTGCTGGCAGCTAGGAGGCACAGCGAGGAAACAGAGCCTCTTGCCCTGAGCGGTAAAAGTCTGTGCGACCCCGTAGCGTGACCCGTTGTGGATGAAAACTGCGTGTGGACGGGAGAATCCACGACCTCGTCAGGCTTGTGTGCGTCTGTCGAAAGGGTCTTCTGCAAAACCAGGGAAGCAGATTGTTAGGACAGCACGTACCCAACAGGTTGGGGCTTTTCAAAGTCTGCTTGCAGATGAAATATTTTTAAACGCTTCTCGGAATAGGAAAACCAGTCTCATTTTCCTATGCTCTTACACAGCTGCTACTTCAGGGAGAATGTAAGCTCGGAAGTAGAAGGTAGTTTGGGGTTTGCCATCAATAAAAACCTGGACTGTTGATAAAATTAACATGCATTTTATTTTTAGTTCGTGGAGATGTTGCTGCTTGTTACAATGAAAAAATATCTAATATGCTGTAATACGATAATACAGTATAAAGAACTTGTACCATACAATAATGCAAGATTGAATATGAGTCATAGAATCACAGACTGTTTTAGGTGGGAAGGGACCTTAAAGATCGTCCAGTTCCAACCCCCTGCCCTGGGCAGGGACACCTCCCACCAGACTTATCACACAAAAGACTTATTCTGCAATTGCCCTACCTGGGAAATACATTGACGTCTCTATCCACAATTGCGATGCCCTGTAATGTATGCCCTGTAATTTGGGGTCTCAATACATTGAAGAAGTTGAACGTCGAGAGGTGTATGAGTCTCAATTAAAAATTCAACTTCACCAATGTTGCTTTTGTGCATATTTAATATCTGTGGGTATTGCCATATTCAGACTACTGAGAAACTAATGTTCTATTTGGAGAAGATAACAAATGCTGACTATTTTTATCATTGATGGCTGTAATAACTGTAACAAAGCTAAGTGCTATCCCTATAACTGCTAGTTACTTTAAATCCTTTTTAAAGTATCTGGAGTTTAGTAGGACAAAATATTTTCCTGACTCGACACCTTGTCCTTAGCGTCAGGTAACTCTAAGTAGTAATTCAGACATGGTGCAAACTGAGATTCACTCTTGCAATCAGCGTGCATTTAGAAGTTACTAGAAGAAGATTTCAGCTGCTGCAAGCGATAAACAACCGGAATTCATGGTTTGCTGTGCTGAGACAGGCAGGGCGGGCCAGGAGGTAACCCGTCTTTGCCTTCCAGACACTTTCAGTTATGTAAAAAGGGATGTTTTACTGCTGGAATTTGGGGAGAAGGCTTTGCTGGCAAAATAAATCTCAAGAGAGCTTTCCAACTTGCCTCGCAGGTATTCCAGGTACTGCCGCTGTTGGTTTGAGCTGCGTTTGGCACAATTTGGAGTACATGGATTGTTCCTGGCGGCCCGGAGAGAACGCGAGCAGCGATACCAATTATACGTTGTTCTACTGGTTCGTATGAACTTTTTATTCCCAGCTCTAAAGTGCTTTAGTGCTAATCTTTAGTTTTATGTGACATGTTTTCCTTGTCTGCTTTCTGTTGCTTTGAACGGTCTTGGGGCATTGTGTACAAGTTAGCCTTGGGGCCCGTCCAACAGAGAGCTTGGCTGCTGGAGGGTCAAGAGGTTGTTGTTGCCGAGTCTTTTTTTGGGAAGTTGATAGAAGCTTTATGCGAAGCCCTGGCTGCTTCTGTAGCCCGTTTTAAAATAACTGCTGTTGCTTTCTAATTTTTTCTGATTGTGGCTTCAAAGAGGGAGGAATTAAGAGCTGAGCTAGACTGATATATTAATTGCTTTCTTTGCAGCCCAGCAAACATGGGCCATTTAAGTCAGAATCAATCACTAATGTACGTGTCCGCTCTTAAATCATTGGAAAATGGTATGAGAGCATTAATAACATTTAGCAGTAGTTTTGTTTGTATCTTCAAGGTCATAAATAACCGGTTCACCTTGAAAGTTATGGAGAACATCTTTTTATCATCATCCCTGCTTGCCAGCTGACTGCCATAAATAGCCTCTTGTTCCAAAGGAACAGAGTTGTGGTGTGAGCGAAAACTTGGCAGCGAGATCCGCGCGCGCTGATCTGTGCATACTTCTGTGTGTCGATGGGGCTTGTGAAATGCCAGATTGCATTAGCTTCTGTTAGAAATATTGAAGTTTGCTTTCTGAAAGCCCCTTGTTGTAGTTTTAAATCAGCTTTCTGTCTTGTCTGCTCTGACTAAATAAACTTTTTCCTCTTCCTCTCCGGTGGCAGTCTCGCAGGCGAACTGTTCCGACAGCAAACAGCAGAAAACTTGCTGCTTTAGTTCAGTGTGGGGAGGACTGTTCTCTCTCCAAGTTGCTACTCAAAGAAGTTTTTCTTTATTACAAGAACAGTGCCAATGAGGTGTTGAAGATCTGAATTTGTGGGTACATGGATACTTACTGGAATAATGCTTTAGGTTAGAGCTATGTTTTCAACTTACCCCTTAGTTTTAGTGAAAGATGTGGAGGCGGTGACAGCAAAGTGTTTTGATTCATGCTGCTTAGGAAGAAAAAGACTTTTTTTTTTTCTTTTAAGTTTTAAAGCTGAAAACTAAGGGAGCACTTGACTTTTGGACTAAAGATACATTTTTCCATAATGCAGGTGAGGTGGGGTTTTATGTTTTGTTTTTGTTTTTCAGAAATGAGCGAACAATTACCTGAAAAATTACAGTTCCATTCTATATTCTTCTTCACTGATATTTTCCTCTAAAAACCTCTCTTTTCATCCAAAGTGAATGTGAATCCAGTGGGCGCACAGTGGGCTGAAAGGCAGGTTTATGAGAGCAGCTGGATACGTCGCGGGGCGCAGGCTGCTCTGGGTGCCCCCGTCCTCACCAGCCCCGGGGAGGGGAGAAGGGGGGATCAAAACGGGGTCTGGGCGTGAAAACGGGACAGACGGTTTTGGCTTCTCCAGCCCCTATCCAGGGAGATGTGAAGTAGGGGAGTGTCACTCTTATTGTGCTCCTAAACGAAGCTCTGATTTGCTCCATATAATTTAAAAAAAAAATTAAAAAAAAAAGAAAAAGAAAAAAACATTTCCCAATTTTCTATGGGGGAAAAGCTACTGGCGTATTTTCATTGGAATTTGGGGAACGATGAGAAGCAAGGAAGAAGGTTGTCATAGCTTCTCTGTTACTGACAATTTTGGACAGCAAATGCAGGCAATGATAGGTGAAACTTGACCGTCTCGAGCAGGAGCTGCGGTACCTGAGGCGCTGCTGAAGGAGACCGATCAGCTCATTCTGCCAGAGAAGTGAAATTCTGTTGATGAGAAGTGATCCAAATTAGTTTGCTTTCTAATTACGTGTGTTGTTTTTTTTTTTTTCTTGAAATTGTTTTCCCATGTGGAAAATGTGAACCAAAGCTGAAAGCAGCCATTGTCTTTGATGCCTGGGTATAAAGCAAACCTGCCTCTTTTTCTGCTCCTTGGCGCTCTTTACACAAATAATACTCTCTCTAAAGCTTGAGATAAGTGAGAAGCTTCTTACTTTGCTTAGCTTTACTTTTATGTATGCTATGGCACAGCTTTAATGCAAGATCACTCTTCAGAATTTGTAACGCAGGTTTTAAAAACAAGCTTGCCTCTTGCTGTCCTGTTCTTTTGAAATTTTAAATAAATATATTAAATTCCCATAGGTTTGATGGTTTGAAAAACCACAAGAAGTGCAACAACTATTCTATGGACCGCGGAAGATGTATTTTCAATCTCAGCTTCCCCAACGTCACCAATACGTACCCAGCTATAAGTATTTTGATTAGAGATGATTCTGAAGAAATTAGGCCTGTGTGTGCCAGTAAAAATCCGACCACCCTTGGTAAGTTTAACACTGCGCTACGAAAAATGTAAAGAAAGAAGTTTGCTAGTATGTCATCGTGTTTGAGAAGCTTGCAACTCATAAGCTGTTGATGAGACAACGTGGTTAGATATTCTCTTCTTCTGTTGATCTTCGATTTAGGAATTGTGTAGACAGGGTTTGTTTTTTGAGGGGTGGATGTTTGGGTTTTGTTTGTTTGTCTTTTATTTTACACTGAATTTTACTCTTACTCTTTTATTGCTCTTATTATCTCTTTACTTTTTGGTGCTTTTTTCCTCTTTCCGTTCCTAAACTGGTATAAGTGTAAAATTCTGCAGTACAGAACTTCTAACCACTTTTGGAATCAGCGAAGTATAATTTTTAACTAATTCTTCCGTTTTGCATTTCAGTAAGACCTGCTACGCCAAGAAGACTCACACTGTCAAAGGTCAATGATGAGATATACGTAGAATGGAGTGAATCAGACACCTTTCCAGAAAATTGTTTATCTTATGAAGTTAAATGTCGCAATGGTGATACCACTCAGATAATTCAAGTAATTTTTCATTACTTAACTGATATTTTTTTTTCCCCTATGTGTCTTTTATTATTCGTGTTGATATTCACAGTAACTCAAATATTTGCTGTTTAAAGATGCAAAATTATATATGCTGCGTGTGAACGGGTCTGGTGCACTAGCTGGAAGCGTTGTGTGGACATAAGATTATTCTCCCATACGGTAATAGGGTCTGTACAACACAATTCATACTGCTCTGCTGAATCCTTGCCATCGTGTGTTATTGCAAAGCAGTAACGTGTGAAAACAGTCTGGTAAAGAAGTATATACTAAACTAAACAACGCTTATCAGGAAATAGACTGCAGTGCATGTACCTGTTTGCTTCCCAGTGATACGGGACTTTGGTCTGGTGGTGTCGGGTTTTCCTGCTGGCGGCCGGCGCTCGGTCAGATGATTGCCTTGTTATTGAACAGCATGATTTGATTACTGTAAAGCAAAATTAGTGGCTGGTGCACACAAGAACACGGAATGTTATGCAGAAAAGCAAGGGGATAAAAAGACTGAGGATGCGGGGGAAGAAAAAGGCGTGCGGTCTTAGACGCACCGATTTTAATGTACGTACAGAAATCATTGACTTCAATGTCTGGATGTACTCACGTCTGCATCTGCATAGCCAAACCGACCGCACTGTTTGATCAGAATGGTAAACAGTGTGATAAATTTAAGAGTGAGGTGGCACTCTTCTCCTGTGGAGAAGCTGTTTGTCCTACCCCAAATTTAGCAAACTGGAATAATATCAACATACCTCAGAAAACTGGCATTTTGGATCAAGAATAAGTGGGGTTTGATCCCAGCTAGCATGCTCGTGGGCCTCCGCAGAGGCATCACAGAAGACTTGTGTGCGGTCGAAGTTGGCCCAGCGTTGCTGCCCTGACAGAGAGGGGAAGGCAGCATAAATCACAGATGTTCCTCAAAAAGAAAAAAAAAAAGAAAAGGCGCTGTTCCAGACACTGAGTGTGGGGTTAATCATTGGTGCCAAACGCTGCGTGATAGATGTAGCAGTGAATAACATTAAATCTTAGCTTTGGAATCTCTATTTAGGCAGCCTTCGCTGGTTCAATGCTACCGTGTCCTATTTTCATGAAGTTTAGTGTTCACAAAAAGATCTTCTGTCTAAACATTCAGAATACATTAACTGCACAATGAAAATGGGCTCATAAATGACTGAGAATACGCTGGCAATTGAACAGATTACCTTTTCTTTTCACCTTAGGTTGAAAATAATTATACGTCAATTCCTAGCGTTGATCCTAATAGCAAGTACACCTTCCAAGTGAGAGCGAAACCAAAGCCCGAGTGTTACAGCAGCAAACTCTCCAGCGACTGGAGCGAAGAGAAGAGTATCGGTGAGAACAATCATGCCTGCAATTTGTTGTGCTTTATTCTTCATCTGTAAGACGCTCTGTCTGCCAAGTAAATGGGAGTTGAAGACTCTCTTCCTATGTAATCTTAGGCGAAAAGAGGGCGGGAGAGTTCCAGTCCTTCACCAGTGCCATCAATTAGCGTAGCGTACGGCTGTGGATGTTGATGGGGTTACCGCTGGTGTAGCTGTGCGATAACCCCTTTCCGGGGCTGTCAGTTTTTCAGCCCTGAGCCTTGCTGGTGCTCAATTTTCTTGCCAAATGTATCTACGTTATAATATCATGCTTTGGAAAATGACCCTCCTGAAGTGCTAATGTATTTGAAATACATTCAGTCTACAAACAAATTAGAGTTAATTAATTTGTTGTCATTATTCCTAAAAAGCCTCGCAAAACATCCCTAAGTTTCTACAACCTTTGTTTTCCAGGTGAGAAGGCGGACTCTACATTCTATCTTGTTTTAATAGTCACCATTCCATTAATAGTAGCAGTATCTACGATAATCCTACTAGTTTATCTAAAAAGGTAAATAACGATCTCCCTTTATTTACAATGCACTAATTCCGATTGGTCTTTGACTCGCGTTATAATTCGCGTCTCTTCCAGGTAACCGTGCATGATGTGGCTGTTTTATCCCCAACACGCACTGCGTAACAAAACCAGCAGCACCACTGTGCCTGGGTCATTAGAATTAGGTTTATAGACTACATACACGCTCTGGCCACACTTGGGTGACATCGCTTATGAAGTCCAAATTCAAAATTAAGCTTATATTTGACCAGTTTTTTTAAAAAAGCCTCTTTTTGCTGCTGTCTTTGTCGCCAGGGAAAGTTACTTAGAATCTGTCTGTGTGAATATTCCCATTTCCTTTGGGTTTGGGGTGTAAAAATGAGAATTGGGCTACAGTTGCAGAGAATGAAAGCTTGGCCGGTGATGTCAAAGCTGACTCCACAAGTTTTCTTGACCTCACCCAAGTATGACATTGAAATGGTGATTTTTAAATGAATACATCTTTCATCTAAAGGTTTTCTTTTTAATTTTCTGAAGGCTGAAGATACTGATTCTTCCACCAATTCCAGACCCTAGAGAAATTCTGAAGCGCATGTTTGGAGAGCAGAATGAGGATTCCCAGGTTAGTAAGAAGCTGTTGGGCCAATGAATCTATTGGACCAGAATCTATAGGCTTCCAATTTTCTTTTTCCTAATACCTATGTGTACCTTAAAACTTACTGTACATAATTAAGTATATCATATAAAGATTAAGTATTTACAATAATAAGACTTGTTCAGAAACAATTACCCAAAACTGAGAGGGATTTTTCCCCCCCTCAAATTGCATATACTTTTCTCGATACATTAGTAAAATTGCATTATTCTGTTATTTCCCACACTGCTAGTCCCTTAAATGTGTTTTGGGTTGGTTTGGGTGTTGGGTTTGTTGGGTTTTGTTGAGGCCTTTTTTGGGTTGAGTTGGTCTGAGTTTTTTTTGCAACTGCATTAAACTACTCCTGACCTTTAGGTCTTTCTCTGCTCGTTGCTCATATTTATGATGCTGAATAAAGCTATTCACATTTGACTTCCAGAAACTCATATTTGTACCTCTTTCACATTTATCACAGTCAGCGAGCTATGAAGTAAATGAAGACACTTAGCTTCTCATTGGCAAAAAGACAAAACAAACTAGAGCTGCTTCAAGCTTTGGTTGATGAAACACTTGCTATGGGCCCTTATTTCAGGAAAAATAAATGTAATACTGATTATGGAAACTGTTCTTTCTAAACAAATCTAACTGAGTAGCTCTTTGTAAAAATCCGAAGGGAAGTACACTGACAAGCCCCAATTCAAACCTCGACCTGAGGCAATGGATGTTGTTCTCTGAACACAGTCCTTGTATGGAAGGGACCTTCTGACTCACTGCGGCATCTCAAAATTGATGCCACCTGTGAAACATTTGTAGAGGGTAATGACTATGGGGGTGTCTGGTGCTGCTCGCGCGTTGGATGTTCTCAGTTGAACACAAGTCGCAGGAAACTTTTTGAAAAGAAGTCTCCTTTTGTGGCCTCCCAATCGCAAAAGGAGTCCAAGTCCAAAATCCAGTATTCCCTTTTTCCGTGGGAGTATTCTGACTTCACCTAATAATAAACCAGAACTATGTGGAAAACAGGGATCTGGCCTCCGAGTTTACTACCTTTTGCATAAATATTTTTGGCATTTGTTGGTCACTGGGGGACTAAGATGGGACTCTTGGCTGTGAGGATCTTGAGTATGGTAGCTGTTACACTGTCGCGCTTTGACCTGTGCTTTGTCGCTGCCCCAAGTAATGCTTTGTTCTCACCTCTGAGTTTCATTTTGATCTTCTCTACACGTACACGCTCAGAGTCTCAGTGAAAACTCTACTAAGCATGTGCATCCTCACTTCTCCATCCTCCTGCCTGAGCGTCCCCCATCTGCTGTAGTTGGAAGCACTCTTACAATGGGCACCAACCTTCAGTCCTTCTTTGTCTCCAGAGAGGACAACTCTTCTGTCAACCAGGCTTAACCTTGTCCCTAATAAGCACAATTTATTGCCCAGCTACCTTGGCTTTTTCACCATAATATAGGCTATACGTTGTGAAATGGGGCTGTCCTATTGGGCTGAAAAACAGCACTCGCTGTGAAGAAGCACTGTTAAAAATGTTGTTCTTCTCTTTCAGAGCTGTGCAAAGGATGATTCTGCGAATGCTTACGACAGGTTAATTAAGGAAGAAGAAATTCATTCTTTAATTTTAACAGAAACGCCAGAGTATGCTAATTCTGAAACGGAAAACCGATAAACTCTGTTTTACCAGTGAAAGAGGAGGAAACTTTGATTCCTGCTCCCGTACAATGTAGATGTGAAGAAGCCTGCCAGACATTCACCAACTCTCACCTTCCTGAGTCTCTTCTGAGCCTTACTTCTGTGATGCTCAGAAGATGCACGGCTAGCAGTGGCCATTCCTCCATCTCTGCTAGAAATACTCCTCTCGGATCATTCGAGAGGAGCGTGTACGTCCCTTCCCTCTGCCTGCGCTGCAGCATCTCTCGCTCTGACTCCAGCCAGCTCTGCCCTGTTGTCATTTGCACTTGTGTTTGTGCCTCGCGTTAGACTGCAGATGGTTTTTGGGTTTTTTTCGGAGCAAGCACTGTGACTTCTCTGAAGCATTGGGCTCGATTTTGCAGCAGGTGAGATGAGGTTTGTTGACAGCAGATGGCTCGTCATTGCCACGATGTGCAACCACTGCCGGAGCGTGGACCGTTTGTGGATGGCGTGTTCCACGTGCTCCGGGGCAGGGCGCTCTCCAGACGGCATGGATGGACTCACCTTCTTACGCTACCGCTTGATGTGCGTCAGCTGTGGCCTGGTCAAACCCCATGAAACAGGGTTGTTTTTTCTTTAAAAGCATGTATGAAAAGCCGCTCTGCTTTCCAGTTGGTATTCAGACTATTCATAGAAAAGGCTTAGTTTTTTATCCTTTCAAGTGCCTGTCTTCAGATGCCATGCCTTCATGGACTTCTTGGGTTAATTATACTTTGTTTAAAAAGATAAATAGAATTTTTTTTACCTGTGTTGTGCAGTGGCAGATAACTGTATTGAGTCTTACCAGACTGTGATTCAATTTTGGCCATATTGGCCTGAAAACACCTTGATTTTTGGAAGCTACGTCATCCTGAGTCTGTCCAGCAAAATTACCGGGATGGACGCGTGAGTCTAAGGAGCTGTGGTCAAATTGATTAGCGAGTGCTAAGCCACTGCAACCAAATTAATTCAGAGACGTCAAGACCCATCCTTAAGGATGCTGAGCTGATGGATTTGGGGGAAGAGGGGATGACAACCTTGGCCTGCTTTCTAAGGGATAAGCTTTTTTCTTTCTATAGTGATGAGGCTGTGATTTGAGCTTCCCCTCTAGGAGCTTACCAATTTAAAGCAAGGTGCTGATTTGAGTTTTTTTTTAAATTTACTTTTTCCTTTTTTTTTTTTTTGTAAATCATTAATTGATCTGTGTGGGTTTGGATGGCTTTATTTTCAGGTTGCTTTACCCAGCAAAGCTCAGCAGATGTTTTGAAGCACAACTGTGACATTTATGCTCGCAATTCTGCGCTGCGAGGGTGTAAACCGCAGCACCTTGGCTGTGCTGGAGGCAGAAAGTAATGTAATGGGGAGAAAGAGATGCGTGCAAGCTGGTTATGCTTAGTGTTCAGGAATTTCTCGCTCCTCCCAGCGAAGCGCCGACACGTTAATCATTGATACGGTCAGCCTTATCAGACTGGGAAGAGATCTCCTCAGCAGTTTGCTGGAGGCACACTGTGTAGCCACTAACCTTGTAAAGTTCAGCCCTTCCGCAAACTCCATTCAGTCAAAAATCTCAAATGAAATGCTTCATTTTGAGAACATACTGTTCTGCAAGAAGTAGAACTAAGGGAGCTTGCTTTTTAGCTACAAATTCACATCCTTTACCCTCTTATGTATTCCCTCCCTCTCAATAAATCCAATTCTTGCCCCAGTCCCCACTGAGCCTTTCAAACACACAATTGCTGCCAGATCTCTTATCTACCTCATTACTGGTGGTAGAAAGAGAAGGAGAAATGTAGCAGAACTAGCAGACCCCGTATCAGCTTAAATCTTTCACTTGGAATCAGGCTGAAAAAAAAAAAAAGGCATTATAAACATTGGTTAATGAGACAAAATGAGAATAAAGCCTCAGGGATTTCAGTGAGATAAAACAAAGCTCAGGTTATACAAAGTCAGCTACCAGCACTGTCTGATATTCCAGAGGTAAAGGAATAGCGTGGGGGAAAGGGTAATTAAAGTCCTGTGCCAACTTCAGTCCCTCTCCCCCACAACCTTTATGTCATTATAGCGATAGAAATACTTCTCAAATCTACCTCATCTAGAACATTGCTCTTCACAGACCACTAGACAAACAGAAATGGGTGATTTCAGGATAAGTAAGCATAACAATGGAGTATAAAGTTTTTTGGCTTTTGGTATAGCAATCTAGGAAGATGATCCTTGGTACTTTACCCTAAATTCTTTTGACTTTTGTTTTGGTGTAAAACCAAAGCTTATTTGTTTGAAAACCAAACCAAACAAAACCCAAATGCATAAAACTAAAGGAGTGGAAAAAGCAGACAGAAGGTGTTAGGCCAAAAGAAGACTTAAATGCAGAGGATGGTTTAGATCGCTATATAGAAATGGTTTGGGTAATTCTTTGTTTCGCAAATAATAGTAATTGACACACTTCCTAATGGATGGATTTGTTGAGCCTGTGTTTTGGCATGTAAAGTAAGTGTCTGAGTATATTTTCGTCATTAAGTGTCTTGTTCATGGTTAGGGGTTTTTCAGCTTGAAATTTGCCAAGTTTTGCTATCATTTGTGTGTTCTTTACAGTTACTTGATCTGTAAGTTTGTTTAAAGAATGAATAAATACGTCTGAATGTTTTTCAATATAATTGGGTGGCATTTCGTTCTTGGGTTGAGAAGATAAACTGAGACAGAAGAGATGGCAGTGGCTTAATGAGAAACTGTGTTTGAGGCGCGCAGAACCCCAAGAAGAAAAACTGAGTGTTGCTTCGCCCTCTTCCCTTTCATGAGTGAACTCAGCCCACGCGATCGGTGGGGAATGCTACATGTTTTATTCCCTAACGCTATAGAGAGTTAATAAATTCTCAAATTGGAATTTGACTGAGGTGGCTGCAGCCTTATCAAACGTAGCTCCGATAGCTTATGTCTTTGTTAGATGCTGAAGTCACTGAAAATGCCACATTGCTGAACTGATGAAAGCCATTACCCAGTTGCTTAGACTCAAACGTCTTCAAGTGCCAAATAAACACATTAGCAGTGGCTTCTTTGAAAGATTCAGGGAAAGCATGCTTTGTTCCCTCCAGGTCAGCGAGCACATCATTCACAATTAAGGAATAAACAGTGACATTAAAAACGCAAGTCTATTTGGATTTTTTTTTTTTCAATTCTGCAGTTTTTGTAGCAATAATGATTTTAACCACACTCATAAGCGACCTTTTCATATTTTAATACATTATGTTAAATTATTTATGTTGTCTGTATTTGGCATGCTAGAAAAATTAAACACTATTTCTTCTTTTTTTTAACTTTTAATTTATTTCAACTAAGGAATGTCATGACATAGTTGGATAGCTTTAAAGGAGTTGCTAGATGAACACACCATATTGTAAGCTGATGCTCGCTAGGTAGAACTATTCACAGATTGGGTATTTCCATTCACTGGAAAGTATGCAATAAACTTAGTTCTGAATTGCAACTTCAAATATTCAGAATTTCCCCTGAAAGGGAAATGTTAACTTTTTTTTTTTTTTTCATTTTAAAAAAAGAAGAAACTTTCAGTTTTGGAGGGTTTTCCCCTCACCCAAGCAAGAGTGGGAGGTAGGTGAGTGGAAACCCAGGTACGGTCAGGGTGCTGCAGGAACCTTCTCACCACAGCACCGTGGTGGGGCAGCGGCTGAGCCCGTCGGGTCCAGGAATGGGCCCGGTGGGGCTGGAGAAGCAGATCTGCCCGGGTTATTGAAGGTGCCTCAAGATGATTCCCCAGTACTTCGGTTTTACTCAAAAGTTGCACAAACCGTTTCATGGCAGCAAGTGCCGCAGGTTGCTTGGCCAGCTGCAGAAATGTGGCTTCTAGATACCGCTTCAAATCCAAATGCAAAACCAGATTAAAATCTCTCTGTTTGGATGAGCTTCCTGCCAGCGCTGGTGAATCACGGTGAAAGTAGGAGACTTGCGATCGCCGTGATGTAACCGAATCCACGCCATCACCACAGCAAAGCAGTACAGGTTTGGGTGGGAGGCACAGGAGAGAGACAAACTTGCTTTCAGGTCCGGAAACTCTGCCTCAGCTTTGTAGCGCGTAAGAGCCTGAAAGCTTCTTGATGACTTTTGGGTTGTTGGGTTTTTTTTTTCTTGCTCTCTTCTCCAACTATGTTGGTTAGGTTAATGAAATCCTTTCTCTTTGCTTGTAAACCTCGTGTTGTTTATCGCTGAAGTATCCCTTCTACAGCTGTGCTCTGATTATTGCCAAGTAGTCTTCTGAAGGTAATAACTCAGCAGGGAAAGACGATCGCTGCTGTCACCGCAAAGCTGTAAACCAGCCAGTGTATTCTAGTAACGCTCTGCTCCTTGTTTTCCTTTTGCCAAAGTACTGCAATTATTTTGATGACTCTTGCACAAAGCATCTCTAAAGAGATGCTTTCCAGTTAACCAGTACTTCCAGTAATCATACTCTTAGCTTATTACATTGAAGCTTTCCTCTATTTAAGTTGGCTCAGACTGCTAAAATGGGCTTGGTTAAGAGCAGGATGAGATTGAAAGCTGAGTGGGAAAGAGGTTTTGTTAAGCTCAGACGCTGTCACTTCTTGGAACCTGGGCAAAATTTACTAAGCTAGATCAAAAGTTAGGAGCAGCTTGAACCGGGAGTTAACCTCATGTCTTGCTTCAAAAGTAGAGCTGGCCCAACATCTTCTGTGTTAAAAAAACCCCAACAAACCCAAACAACTGAATATGTGCTTCATACTGGGAACAAAGGGGTGTGTGCAATGGGCATCCTCTCCTGGCGCTCTAACGAAAGATCGGTTAGATCCCCTGCTACCCGCAATTGCTGTCTCGGAGGCCTCCGCACGTGTACAGCGCCATTCTGTAACGTCTGAAATGCCAGAAACGAGGTGCATTTAAGGCACTTAGCTATGTCATTGCTGCTTCTCCTCAACCTGTTTTAACGTAGTGAGTTGAAACAAAATCCACTGGGGTTTTTTTTTGACAATGGTG